ATTCAAGACCAGCACCTCTCCCCCTGGCAGGGTCAGGGATTGATCTCCAGGGTCCAGGGGTCAGGACTGCGGACCAGACCCTGTACACCCAGGTCACGATCGCACTGCCCTGGGGCACGGAGGAGAGATCTGTGAAAGAGCCTACTGAGGAGTGTGTGCCTTCAGGGGCAGATCAGCATGCCAGACCGGCAACCCTCCGCCTAAAAGAGGGCTGTGCATCCAGCTCAGGCTACGATCCTGGGTAGGGAACCTCCCAGCCCACGTCACAACCAGGGGAGATCCATCGGCCTGAGGCCCCGCTTGCTGGCAGAGGCCTGGGAGAGGACATGGAGAGGGGCAGATTGGAGGGGAGCGAGACCTGCTCCAGAGTGCGGGTCTTGGACAGTCCCACCCCCCAAGCCCAGACTTTAAGCTGAGTACAGCCATTTCAGCCCCTCCCGGCAGATCTGCACAGAAACAAAGAGCAGAACTTTGACCCCTGCTGACAGCAGCTGTGGAGCCTGAGGGCAGACTTATCCAACCCAGCCCCACCCAGACTCACTCCTGGTCCTGCCCCCACTGAGGGGGAGAATAAGGACAGCTCAGGCTACGATCCTGATTAGGGAACCTCCCGGCCCATGTGACAGCCAACGGAGATCCATAGGCCTGAGGTGTGCTTGCTGGCAGAGGCCTGGGAGAGGCCACGGAGAGGGGGAGAATAGAAGGGAGTGAGACCTGCTCCAGAGTGCGGGTCTTGGACAGCCCCAGCCCCCAAGCCCAGACTTTAAGCTGAGTGGACCCATTTCAGCCCCTTCCAGCAGCTTTGCACAAAAACAGTGAGTAGATCTTTGACCCTGCTAGCAGCAGTTGTGGAGCCTGAGGGCAGGCTTGCCCAACCCAGCCCCAACCAGACTCACTCCTCCCACTGAGGTGGAGAATAAGGACACACCTGGAAATCCCAGGGCGCCACCCACCACCCACCACCCGAGGCACAAGAGGGCCTCTCTAGAGGAATAAGAGCTAGCTACAGGACCCAGAAACAGCACTGCAGCTCGCTCCTCCCTGCAAGTGCCACCTACTGACAGGGAGGTCATCCTGCACACCCTTTTACTGCATCTACTGATTCATCATAAAGGGTGGGGTCAAATCTCACCCACAAACACCACCTACTGGATCAGAGACTAAACAGGGGGTGTCATTATCCGAACGAAAATTTAAAGGCAAGAAGGAACAACTGATCCAGATGGGAAGGAACCAGCGAAAGAACTCTGGAAGTATGAAGACTCAAACGGAAAGTACACCCCCAAAGAGGAAGAACAGCTCCCCAGCAATGGACATTAGCCAAACTCAGAACACTAAAATGACAGAAGAAGAATTTCAAACATGGATTG